AAAGATGTCAGAAACTGCGAAGTGATTCATGAGTGAGAAGAAAAGTACGCTTGTCGACTACGAATACAAGCACGTGTCACCATTATCGTTCAGCTCATTCGCTGGTTCCTTCGAAGTCTAATTCGGAATCAGAGCCTAACCGTGCCACCTCTCCACCATCATTGCATCAACAACAACTGACCTTCATTTCTCACTTCTTACATCATAACTATGACGTCAGTGGTAAATATGAAAAGCAATCGAAATTGGCAGTCGCCGCCGATCCAGCCTCACACGATCTTGACGTCAGCATCGCTCGAGTCGCATCTACTCATTTTCGACGGATATTCGTCGCCGACACTGATTAATCTATATAATCTATATCCTCTAATCTTACACGACACGGGGATGGATAAATTAAGAGCATCGATCCCTTCCTAAACGCCGCGGGGCTCATCATTGGCTCATGCCTGCTCTGGACGTCCACCAGGCGACTGTCTGTCAAACTTGCAAAACCCTTTCAGCACTTTTGGCAGAATGACCGCGAAGCTGACTAGAGTGAAAAACAGCAGCATCTTTTGACCGGATGTGCCAATCTATACTAGCACAGCAGTTTGACGCCAGACTCGTCTGGCCGAGTCGATCCGATCGACCAGTTTTGCAGCAGAAGTCATTGTCGATGGCTTAAGTCGAAACGCTCTGTATACTTTGGAATGAACGATGTCGAAACCCCATCGCCATAGTTACGTAGGACTTCGGCTTCCGCTTCTGCCAACTGAAATCATCTATGTTTGTTGAAGATGCAGCAGATATAATCATGCTTCGGTCAACTGCTATGAATCAGGTCCCATAGGTTCACCAACGTACCAGCTAATAACACCATACATACCGTACAAAATCAATTTTACTACTTCGCTGGTGGCTGATTCGAAGCCTACAACAGTTACCATAAAACTTTTTAAAACGGATGTACCTTCTAATCCATCGTTAGCATACCATCAAACTTATCACCACCAATACAGAAGTTTTCCTGACTTTCAAATATCGATCATCCATATAGCATCGTATTTTCTATCATTCTCAGACATCAAGCATCGAGCCGTTTTGCCTATTGCTTCATTTAAAAGTCGTCATCTTTCGTTCGCAGAGTAAACGAGAGAGTTGGAAATAACTTGCCAAGCTGTTATGAAACTCCTACGGACTGTAATCCGTTAATCAAAGCAACAGCAAAGCATCTTATACTTGGCTACGTAAGCTTCTGAAATTATCTAAGCATGAGTCAATCAATCATCAATCGTTTTTTATAGCTATAACTTCATAAATAATAAAAATAATAACTCTAGCACTGACCGTATAAATAATGCAGAAACCTCACCGCACCGAAAACACGTGTGAAATGCGTGCTACGCTAATTGTTGTATTCTGAAATCTCGTCTAATCGATGCTTCTTTACTAGAGAGAGAACGATGACCTTCAAGAATAGGGTGGCTATCATCGAACGACTGTTAGCATATGACAGAGTGCAGCCATAACAAAGTTGTGATCGATTTACTCTCTCCAGGAGTGAGTTAAATCAAATTTACAGTACAAAGAAACGGAAGAGAACCTCCGCTTGACATTAAGGGAGATATTAAGCTCCATTTTAAAATGCACTAATACAATATTGAACAATCCGAGAGACGAAGCACCGCTCCGTAGTGCGGAGTAGAACCCCCTGGAGAATAGATGGCGGTGGCCGCGCTGATCGAGAAAATTTCCAAGCGGGTCATGCGTCAAGGAGATGTCAGTTGGAACCACATTCGATGGACATGAAGACCAACAGCCGTTCTGTACAATATGCTTGACAAGTGCGTACAGTAACCGAAGACATTTGCCAAGCTCGAAGGAACTTCAAGGCACAAAGGAAAATGGCCCCTTGACCCTTGCGTCTAGCTCGAGTCAGACTATACTGTACGACTGATGGATGACCAAACGACTTCAGCAGTGAAAGACTGGTACCCACGGGGGCTGCAAGCGTCGACGTCGAATTTGAAAACTTCGGATCAAATGGGAGGATGAGTTAAAAGATACATATGTACATATATATAAAAATAATCTTCCGATAAGTCAAAAATGGGAAGACAATGCATCAAATGTTCTTTAATTAGGGACATCTGACGTTTCGGACCAAGCTCGGTCCGTCTTCAGAGTACACTTCTTTGTACTCGGTTTATGATGTTTTGAAGCAAGTAGGCAGAATTTATCCACAGTCTGTCTAGAAACGGTATTCTAATGAATACAGTAAAAAGAACATTACAAATCAAAGCAGAGTAGCTGAAATATCTCAGACTGGCTGATGATATGTTGATTGTAGAAAATATTAAACAACTGCAAGAAATGTTGAAATAAATCAAGTCGAACTAAAAGTAAATCAGTCAGACAAAATATATGCCATCAGATATCATGCCGAAGGCGGAAGAAAAGACTAATATAGGGAAAAATAGAAAAGTGGCTAGTTATGTCTACCTGAGGCAGGAGATTAACAAATGACGTCATCGGAAGGCTAAAAGCTTTTTGCACAACGAAAGTTGATTGATTTACACATTCAAAGACACGTTCGTATCAATCACATTTAAGAAGATCAATAGATCAGCA